ATATATATGAAACTAATCATTTTGTTTTTCAAAATAGTAATTCTAAAGTTCCTTCTATGGCTTAACTAGAAAACATGTACTTTGAACAAAATTTTGGTAACACTTAATACTACTGATTTAGCTCCCACATTCCAAAAGGGCTGGAATCTATAAAGTGGTTGTTATAAAAATGGTAGACACATACAAACGCTTTTATCACAAAAATAAGGAATACTAAGATTTTGGTTTCAGGCATTCAAACAACACATTTGCAACCCATACTCCCACAAACCTGCAAGTTATTATCATATTGGACAAAGCCTTTGGCAGAGAATCATCAAAACTGCTGTGAGTCTGATATTTCGTCTGGAAATGACCCTTTCAATTCAGAGTCCATTAAACCACAGAGACACATGGCAGTAATACAAGATTTTAGATGACTGTTTTTTTTTAAAAACAACTTTGCTAATTTGCCTTACTTATTTTGCCTCATTTTCATCTATCTGAAATATATGTTAAATAAATGTAGATAGGTTTTCTTGGCATAATTTTTTCACTAAAAAAAGTGGAAAGACAGTTACACTATATAGTACAACACCTACTAGCCTACACCTCATTGTTGCTTATGTTAAGTGCCGTCAAGTTGGTGCTGACTCATAGCGACCCTGTATAAGGTTTCCGAGGAGTAGCTGGTGAGCTTGAACCACCGACACCACAGTTCAAAGCGACCTTGCCGTCCAGCACATCAACCCACAGTACCACACCTCATTAGTTATGGCAAAGTTTTTAATTAAAATATTATTGAAATATTTCTACTAATGATACTAGAACAAAAGTATTGCTTTACTCAAAGTATCTTTGCTGAATATAAAAAGTTTTGTCTTTAATGAATGCTAAGATATAAAGACAGCTAATCTCCCTCAAAATCTACTCTCCCCTTTTTTATACAGAAATGGACATTTCTGGGCACAGTATTCAGTGGAAAGACACATTTCACAGATTCCCTTGCAGCTAGGTTTAGCCACATGAACAAGCCTAACTGAACAACGCAATGTGAGCAAAGTAAAATATATGCAATTCTGGAGTATTGGCCTTAAAGAGCAAACACAAGCTCTTTACTTTTTCTCTAACTTGTTCCTTCAGCCTCAAAGGTGAACATAACAGTGATAGGTAAAACAGTCATCTTCAACCATAAGATAAAAACTTTTTGTTAAGCGTGACAAAGTAACATAAACAAAGTAGCCTGGGTCTCCAATATCACAAAGCTATCAAAGTAATCCACAACTGCTTACTTGGATTTTTACATCTATGAAAAACAACCTGTTCATCACCAAGTGTAGTGTGACATTTATTTCATTCGGACAAAGCAAAACAAAAAAGTCTTATCGAATAGAAAATGCATGGTTACCTCTTCTAAAAAGAAAAACCTGGATGCAAATAAATATGTTTGAAATAATTCTTCTTTGACTTGAATATTCAAAAAATTAAAGTTGTACAGTGATCGCCATTACAGAATTAGACATATAGAACTTACTGAATTGCTGGCAACAAATCCCTAAAAACCTTAACTCTTGAGAGGTATAAATCTATAGCAAATGAACTTAAACCCATGAAGTTTACTTTGCTATGAGAGAGCAATCTATGCCAATGAACAACAGAATTCATCACGACTTTTTTTTTTTAAATCCATGTTCATTCAGTTCCTTTCTTCTATGTTTATCAGATAATTTTGGCAACAGTCAAATGCCTGTGTCATCAAGGAAAGGATTATAAACACCCTCTTCAATTTTTAGGTCATCCAGGCACAATTAGCCTGAAATAGTGTTCTGCTGTATTCCCAACTTCCTGCCGATTTTTGCCAGCAGATGAATTTACAAAACATTTTCATTCTTTTACAGACGTATGTCCTCCAGCAATGGAAGATTCCCATGGAAGTTTGAGGAAATTAGTTTGTGACTTTTCAGCAGCATCAATAATGCTGATGGCAATACCTTCAATGGAAAGTCTTACCTCATTCCTAAATCCAAAAATGTCTCTCAGAAAGCCAACCATGAATAAACTCCTCTTGGACAAATTTTCCTGAGAGTAGCCTAATGAATAGATATAGAGACAGCTATCAAAATTGCAGTGCTTTCATGCCTATCTGTTAGGGTCTCAACACTTCTGCAGTACTGAGAATCCTTTATTTTGTTTCAAACACTTGAGAAAACTTGGTAAAAAGGCAGTGGTGCTGATAAAATTGATCAGTTTCAGGGCAGAGTGGTAAGTAAGACACCTTTCAGTTATTAATGCCAATACAGTTGTAGAAAGACATGCATCAAGATGACTTAAAGTACTTTCTTCACAGAAGCAGCAAAACCAGAGGTACTGCCAAGCATGGCAAGCACTGGACTCATGCTCAGTGTACCAAACCTCCCTTTCACCACATCAAAGATACCAAAGGCCTTTCAGGTTTCCAAAACATACCTCATAAATTTGGAATTTGTTATGCATCATTATATACAAAACAGATGAAAACCAAAAACTGGCTGTACTAAATAACAGTTGTCATTACACACAAATGCTTGTTGAAGAGAAATGGCATTACTCGCAATTTGACAATAATCTGCTTCAAAATATTAGAAGAAACAGTACTGTTGTTTATGAGGGGGTTTCAAAAAGTTCACAGAAAAATGGAAGTGAAAGCTAATCTAATTTTTCCACAAACTTCCTGAAGTTCCCTTGTATAATATCTCATTGAGTTGGGCCAAAGGAAAGAATATTTGTTAGAAATAATAAACTTTAACAGCCAGCTCAAACTTTCTTATTTATCCTACTTAAATTAAAATGGTCATTTTAAGGACCTTTTTCTTGTTCCAACTCAGAGTGACCCTGTATAGAGCTTCTGAGGAGTGCCTGGTGAGCTTGAACCCCCAAACCTGTGGTTCAAACCAACTTTACAGTCCAGCTCATTAAACCACAGTGCCACACCAGGACTCCTTAAGGACCTTAGCATATTGAAAAGTAGCACTGGTGACATTATGCATTGGGCTGTTAAATGAAAGGTCAGCAGTTCAAATATACCATCTGCTCTAAGGGATGAGGCTGATCTGCTCCTACAAAAATGTACAGTCTAGGAAACCCAAAGGGTTGTTATGAGTAAGAATAAACTCCATGGCAGTAGGTTTAGGTTTAGTAGCACATTGAAACTTAGGAAAATGTACAGCCAATTAGAAAAAGTATATATTTTCTAAATACAAATATTTACTGAAGTCAGTCTCCGTGCATTTATTCTCTATAGGGTAAAACATATTTGCAAAAAATTCCCATTTTATTCCCCAAATAGTTCTCCAATGCATGTTGTTGTTAAATGCCATCGAGTTGGTTGTAACTCACAGCAACCCTGCATAGAGTTTCAGAGGAGCAGCTGGTAGGTTTGAACTGCTGACCTTCTGGTCTGAAGTCCAATGCTGATCATACAGTACCATATCAGGACTCCAAACCATAATATCATTTTAATCATTCTGAATTAAAGGAATTTTGAAAGAATTATTTTAATTCAATTTAGTTCTAACACAAGTCTTTAACAGCTATCTCTAAACTTAATGTGGTAAAAGACTTCCCTTCCCTTTTTTCTACTATATATCTCATATCAGATTGACAAACCACTGGCAAAAAAAAAAATATATATATATATATATCAGTGCCCATTAACTTTGGTAAAATATACAGATAATTAGTATGGTTGCTCTTGTTAAGTGCCATCAAATCAGTTCTAACTTATAGGAACCGTATATAGAGTTTCCAAGGATTGGTTAATAGGTTTGTACTGCTAACCTTGTGGTTAGAAATGCAGTGCTTATGCTACAGTGTCTCACCAGGACTCCAGATAATAGGTATAAGACCTTTAAAATAAATTAATCACCTGTCTTGGTCTGAATTGCTACAGGAACGAATGTGACAAGAGCAGATACCCTTGTTTGTAAAGCAAATAAGCTTTGGAATACATGGTTGAAAAGTGATTTCTTCCTATTTTAAAATTTCTAAGTCATGACATAAATAAAATTTCTTTATTTCCTAATTACTTACAATGTTTTACTACACTTAAATTACTATACTGTTTTCTAATTTCAAATATACTCTTTTGGAAAAGACTATTTGAGGAAGAAGAAAGTAAATCATAATTATAAAATATTGAAAGGTAAACACATATTCTCTTTCTGGAAACCAGTACTTCCTCAAACTTATTTCAATAGGCCCTGCCTCAAAACCTAAAACTTTTGACCCTCCTCTTTCAAAACTGCTCTTTTATGTAACTATCTCTATACTTAAAATACCTTTAAACTCCTTTAAACTAAATATATTTTATCATTATTTTTCACAATTCACCGATATAAAGCATTTGATCACTTTAACTTTGAAGCATTCTTCCAACTTAGAAACTAAGTAATTTTAAAACTTTATGTCCAGAATTTTCTGGAAATAATGTTAATTACTTACATAAATGATTAATCACAATAAATTGTCCGACATTGTACTACTTGTTAACATTATGGAAAGTTTTACTTACTGAAACATTTTTCAGGTTTTTCTCAAAGGAGAACTGACAAGACTCTTTAGAAAAATTAAACTTGTATGCATCAGCTGGTCCTGTTCCCAACACCAATGCTTTTCGCAGTTCATCAACATATTTCTCTTTTTCCATTGCCATGTCATCAGCTTCTTGGGAAATCTCAGATGCAGAAACTATTAGAAACATTAATATGAGCTTTGAAATGAGCTTGTAAGAATGAGAAAACACTTGTTCACCTGTTGCTACCAATTTACCACTTATATAACAATAACAACAAACAGTAAAAACAGCCCTTACCCTTCATATTTTAAAGTCAAGTTATACCTTTTAATTGAACTAACAATTTTTGAGAAATGCACTGATTTAATTTCAATTCTCATTTGAAAAGAATTTGAATCCTGGCATTTTTGTCTGTCTTCAGTTGAAACACATGCAATGTCAATCACTACAGACGCTCCCATTTTGTGTACCTACTCCTAGGTCATTTGTTTTTATTGTTAAGTGCCTCAGAGTTGGTTCCGATTCACTGCGACCATGAAAGGGTTTCCTAGGACTGCTGGGTCTGAACAGAGGTTAGCAGTCCAGTGCTTATCCTATAGTGCCACATCAGGATTCCACATCTAGGTTATAGCCAGAGACTGTGTTCTATGAGTAATTAACACAGTATTTTGAAGTAGCAATAATCCTTGCTTCAGTTATAAAAGAGAGTCTACTTCTTACTCATGTGAGCAGAGTAATTATAGACAACTGAAAATGATTTTAAAAATCAACAAAGTTAGGGGACGAGTAAGGCCAGGGAAAGGAATAAATATTTAGGGAGGACCTTCTCTACCACACGCAATATACATACTATAAATCTGACATTCAGCTCTTTCATGTCCAAGTTCAAGGCAGGCAGCCTTATCAGCCCATTAGGGATCTTGACAGTATCACATCACTGACCCACTCTAATATTTCATTTCTGAAAATCTTGTTTTCCTCCGAGTTCTACAAATCACCAAACATCTATTTCAGTACAAATATAATTTGATCTAATTTTTTAATCAACACAACAGCAAACAATTAATAAAGTTTAATTTACTTTGCAGCAAACTTTAGTCCAGAGATGGGTAACTAAGTTTCTTAACTGCTGGTAACAATTCTTTATGAAAGTCATAAAATAGTCGTCAATCATTAACCAAGTTTCGTCTTAACCCTATGGTATATAGCTGTAAAATGTGGGGTGTTGATGAACCACATGATAAGTAGACCCAAAAAGTACATTCATTAGATCAAACATTGCTAATGGAAACAAAATCAGTGATTTTAGTGTGTGGGAGATTAAAAGGAACTCCACATCCTTTTAATTTCACTCAAAAGAAAAAAGGAAAAAAAATTATCCAAATTGAAGGTTGCAATGACCAGCAAACTGTACAAAAAACAGGATGAGGTACAGGAAGGAAATTCATTTTCATGTTTCAATTATTTAATTGGTTCAGTGTTTTTAATCATGCTACTATCTGTAAAGTGCCAAATTACATTTACTAATGAGACTTAACTAAACATGGAAATAAAGTTATATAACTTGGCTTCATATTTCACTCTTGAAATTTAAAATAATAAAGCAAAAATGAATATTGAAAAACATATAACATATTTAATACTTAAAACGTTAGTAGGCATCATTGAAAATAAAATCGTCAGAGTGTATTTTAAAGTTTTTTGTTTGAATGTCTGTCCAGAACAGGAAGTCAAATGTTAACAATTTACCAGAGAATATAGAAGTTTTGTACCACATTTTTTATATTCTAAATCCCAATAGCCAGAAAACAAATTGTAGAATATTGTGATCGATGTCACCAATA